TCCATCCAGTTGGAACTCTGTTGAAATTAAAAACACATCAACGGATACAGCAAGAGAGATTAAACCGAAAATGGTATCTGAAACAACAATGAGCAGAACAGTTTCTTTTCCTATATCGATGTAGCATTCATAGTAAAAACAACTGGGTAAATGTTACGATGGTCTCCCCATTTACACACCGCTACACACTAGCTCGCTTCTGATTGGACGACCTACATAAACCTCACTTCTGATAGATCGGCCATCGAGCGATCTGACTTTCACACAAGGCCACGGTGATATATTCCTCACTCGCGCTGATACGGCGTGTTGTATATTTTACCATGCCAGAGCTTTTAACACTTCTAAAACATGGTGTCCGCCTCGAGAGCCAGAGGTTCCAGGTTCAATTCCCGTTAAGGGCTAGGATTTATTTACGTGGACTTGGACTTCTAGTAATTCCCCTTGGTTTCTTGGTAGTGAGATATGACGCCCGTGTGCATTGTTTCCTTTGCAGTTGGAAATCAAAAAGAGTAATCTAACGGAGCTACACAGGCAAAATGTTGAGTTATACAGATATCTGTATAGTATTTGGTGATAAGCCATATATTTGTATTGTATATGGTGATAAGCCATATATTTGTATTGTATATGGTGATAAGCCACATATCTATATAGTATATGGTAATAAGCCACATATCTGTATAGTATATGGTGATAAGCAATATATTTGTATAGTATATGGTGATAAGCCAGATATCTGTATAGTATATGGTAATAAGCCACATATCTGTATAGTATATGGTGATAAGCCAGATATCTGTATAGTATATGGTGATAAGACACATATCTGTATAGCATATGGTGATAAGTCACATATCTGTATAGTATATGGTGATAAGTCACATATCTGTACATACAGTTGGACATTTTAAAGATTACTAGATCCAATTGTCCGGCTTCGCCCGAGATAGTGAAATAAAGTCTTATTCTCCCGTCCTCTATCTCATCTTGGTCTCCACCGCTGCCATATATGTAGACCTTGTGGAAATAGGGGTCTATCTAAAATCCTGTATTAAATATATCGTCTTCTATTTCATCTTTGACTCCACTGTTGACGTTCCTTTAGTCATTGCCCCTGAGTGAGCCTAAGGTATCCCCTGTAACACTAACACCAGTATTTAACAGTTTGGGAGACAGACAAATGTATTGCTTGGCTCGAACTCGTGGTGAGACATGAATCGATTGCAAAGACAATACTTCAAGGAACATTGGTGGGGGTTGGGGGGGGGGGGGGGGGTAGTCGAATAAGTGGAGGACAAAAAAGAGCCTGGAATGGCGACATCAAGAAATGGACAAGACTAAGTTATCATACACTTGTTCATTAAGGGGAAGACATCGAAAGATGGCGGATTTTGTGTGCCAGTGCTTCCATCGATACACCCCCACGACCCTATTGGGACAAAGGCTATGTTATATTATGTTATTAAACATTAAGCGACACGGCTCTGTGTGGTGCACATTAACTTTAACTTTTAAATTTATCTACAGCGATCCTCTCGACATTAACTTTAACTTTTAAATTTATCTACAGCGATCCTCTCGACATTAACTTTAACTTCTATATTTACCTACAGCTATCTTCTCGACTTTAACTTCAATTCTTAAAACTTATCCCCAGCGATCCTCTCGACTTTAACTTCAATTCTTAAAACTTATTTCCAGCGATCCTCTCGACATTAACTTCAACCCTTTAAACTGTCTACACCGATCCTCTCGACTTTAACTCCAACTCTTAAAACTGTCTACAGTGATCCTCTTGCCTTTAACTTCAACTCTTAAAACTATCTACACACTTACCACAACAATCACGAGGACAAGAATTATTTAATGTCGTTAATACTAACTTGAGCAAATATCTTGAGCAAGGGTATACTGCTCCAAACAGGCACCCATGACAGCAACTATTATAACACGCCACTGTATCTGTAAAACCGACATACTGATAGATAGACTGTCTGACTCGCACGGTAGGGGTTTATCCTACAAGTATTCTGTTGCAGTGTCTACTAAACCTAAAATGTGAAAAGCAACTCCCCCGTTGCACTAACAGCTACAGAATGGCAATGTGAATAAAAACGATATAAGGCCGACGTGTGGAGTGAAGAAAAAAATAACAGGAAATCGATTCTGGAAAACGCCATGTTGTCTCTCATCCTTTTGTGCCTGTAAGTTCATTTCTTGTTCAAATATGCCTAGCATGTAGTCATTTAGTTCGTGACGTCAATGTATATCTGTTCTTTTGTTCTAAAGTGTAACCCCTATACGTTATCTCCTGCTGCAGTTTACTGTATTTATTTTAACTACTATTCTATTAGAATTCTATGAAACACATTTCTTTGTTGTCGTATTTTAACTACCAGTCTTCTTTCTTACACGCATTATTTTACATTTATTTTCTTTATGCATACCCAACCAGGACATCACACAAAGCGATAAACACCCAGTGACACAAAGTGACACCATGCGGATGAGGATCACCCGTGGAGAGGTCGCAGAAACCCCCTTCAGCCGTTAGGCCATATTTATGGCCCGCTGTATCTAGGACTCCCGGTTAAGGCCAGGGTGGGGTTTCAAATAACGAAACTGCATTCCACAAGGGGACAACGCCTAATAATTATAGTATTCTCTTTATGACATGTTCAAGTTTTTATACGTTTTCTTACATGTTTTTTAATTATTATTATTCTTTAGCATTCCGAGCTTTCGAGGTTCACTGCTACAGATATCACCCGCCTTCATTCATCTCTTTGACTGGCCTTCTCTTTCCAGCTGGTAACACCAAGTGTTTGCAGGTCTGTCTGGACATTATCTCTCCATCGCTTTCTTGGTCTGCCTCGTGGTCTACGACCATTCCTCTCCCCTCTGTATACAGTTTTTACTTCTCTGTCATCTGACATTCTTTCAATATGCGCCAACCATTTCAGTCTGTTTGCTCTCATGATGCCAGTGATCTTTGGATCAATGTTTAATTCTTATATGTTGTAGTTTAGTTTATGTATTACCTTTTTTATTTGTCAATTTACTTTAAAACTCTCTCTCTCTCCCTCCCTCTCTCTCTCTATTTCTCTCTCTCTCTCTCTATTTATCTCTCTCTCTCTCTCTCTCTCTCTCTCTATATATATATATATATATATATATATGTCTCTCTCTTGGTCTATATCTATCTATCTCTGTGTGTCTATTAGTTAGTTAGTTGGTTAGTTAGTTAGTTAGTTAGTTAGTTAGTTAGTTAGTTAGTTAGTTAGTTAGTTAGTTAGTTAGTTAGTTAGTTAGTTAGTTAGTTAGTTAGTTAGTTCGGTTATCATCATTGCACTCCGGAGTTGTCCATAGGTGCTCAGATCCTCCCCTCAGTATGAACCCCAACGTCCGATGGCTAATAGTACCAGTTCTATGTTGATTAGCAAGTCTTCTGGCGTGTCTGGTGTGCGTCTCGTTTTTTGCTATGCCGATCTTAATTCCCAAGTCTGCCATTCTGGCGAGTGATGTGGATTCACTGCCACCAAAGTCCTCTACCCTTCCCATTTCTCTGAGGGCATTGATAATATCAGCTCTGTGTCTATCTCTCTCTCTCTCTCTCTATCTCTCTCTGTCTATCTCTCTCTATCTCTATCTCTGTCTATCTCTCTCTGTCTGTCTCTCTCTATCTCTCTCTATATCTCTCTCTGTCTATCTGTCTATCTCTCTCTGTCTTTCTCTGTCTACCTCTCTCTGTGTCTATCTCTCTCTGTCTATCTCCCTCTGTCTATCTCTTTCTCTCTGTCTATTTCTCTCTCTATTTCTCTGTCTATCTCTCTCTGTCTCTCTCTGTCTTTCTCTCTCTCTATCTCTCTCTGTCTATCTCTCTCTATCTCTCTCTCTCTATCTCTCTCTGTCTATCTCTCTCTGTCTATCTCTCTCTCTCTCTCTCTCTCTCTCTCTCTCTCTCTCTCTCTGTTCTACAAGTTTTAGTGACTACTGATGGAACATAAAACCACATAGTGTACTTTCCTCGAAGTTACAATAAACCAGTCGTGTTTCGTCTTGTATGTGTGTGTGTGTGTGGGCGCGCGCGCGTGTGTGTGTATTTGTGCAGCTTGTCTAATTAATTCTTTTACCGTATATCAGATACTACTGTCTTTGTCAACTGGCTTCTTAATTAGCGGTTATTCCTACAACTGCTACTATTACTATTGCTTCCACTACCACCTCTACTACTTCACCTTTTTTTCCATTTACTTTCGGACATTAAATCGAATACATTCATGAAAGTACCAGTCATTTGATTTTGTTGACACCCCCCCCCCTCCTCCCCTTTCGTGTGGGTTCCAGGGTCTCTTTTTGGGAAAACAAGAACCGACGACCCATAAAGGCACGTCGTAAGAGTCAACTACTTGGGAGCTCCTTCCAAGCTGGAGCGGCAAGGAATAACTCCACACATATAAGCTAGTAAAACGGATGTACACGCAAAACTCAAGTCTTTTCACAAAGCCAAAGTCCTAATGAATTTCCGCTGGAGCTCACAGCCGGGGAACAAAGAAGGAGAGGAAGATTTGACATCTCCACAGGGTCAGTCTTCAGATGAAGCTGGTATGGGGCAAAATAACTTTCTCTGCTCCGCATGTGATGAACATTCTTGCAACAGATGTTTAACAGTGATTTTCTTCCACGTTTGAAGTTATCTGTGTCTTATCTTCAGCTTAACCACAGTTCTAAACTTCAGTCTTGTTTTCATGTAATGAATGAATGAATGAATGAATGAATGAATGAATGAATGAATGAATGAATGAATGAATGAATGAATGAATGAATGAATGAATTGACCTCACTGCAGTGGGGACATTCCCACATGTCCTCCGTCCCCTTTTTCAGAATCCAACAAAGCGTCGTCATGCTAATAGTACCAGTTACAACCTGATTAAAAGCCCGCCTCTCTTTGCCCCTCCGTGATGAATATCTTACAGACCCTCTAGACGACATCCCTCTTGGAATTAGTCTTTCAGTGTATGAATTCTCTCTGTTCCATTGGGCTGTCCCTTTGATCTCATAGCGCCTTCATCACATCCACTGTATCACAAAGTAGCTTCACGGCCAGAGGTGTGGCGGCAGCTAATTGATCAGCCTGCTTGTTACCTCGCACACCTGAATATCGTGGACAGAAAGTCCAGGATATGCTCCTGATCTGGGTATTATCTTCACCAGCGGCTTAACATATCCACTTTCAGTAAACCTTTAATTAGTAGACTGTACGAAATGCTTTTTTTTTATTTTTTTAAGAAGTGTGGGTTCCGGGATCTCATTATGGGAAAAACAAGAATAGACCCACTGCCTCTCTAACAAGTATGTCGTAAGAGTCGACTTATTGGGATTTCCTTTGAAGTCAGTGTGCATCTGCGTAAAGTTAGGGAACCCACAGTCTGAATACAAATAAGCAAGATCTGTAAAACGGATGCACGCGCAAAATGCAGGTCCTGGAACAGAGCCAAAGTCCAGAAAAGGATGAACCACCAGGTCTTTCTTCTGGGGTTTACAGCCGGCGAACGTAAACAAACAATAAAGAGGTGGTGGGTTTATTTCCCCTCCCCTTCTAGTACTTCGCCATAATTGGGTCCCGAAACCCATACAGGAAAACTTCATTGCAGTGGGTTATATTCTCATGACCCTGTTTCTCTGTTTCGTCAGCGAAAAGCATAACATAAAAAGTTTAAAATCGACCGACAACCACTAGGGATCACGAAAATACATGAACTTGCAACCAAATAACAAAACCTGAAACCACAACTTTCTCAGCGCAAGGCGAATGCCCCAACCATTTTGTATGGAAACTCAAATAATCTGACAGCAGGCAAGGATTGGGATTTACCAATATTTGCAGTGGATGCTAGCTCCATTCGTTGTAGACATTTGTTTCAATGTTATGTACTTCTGGCTGTTTTAACAGTTTCTTCAGATTGAAAAAAAAAAAACTTTAAAAAAAATAAATAAACGTGTGTCCTTCAGAGGACGTTACGAACCAACTCCTGCATGTGTTGGCTGTTGATGGCACCACTAGGCAATTTTACCTTCGGTTTTTTGGCTGTTGATGGCACCACTTGGCAATTTTACCTTCGGTTGTTTGGCTTTTGATGGCACCACTAGGCAATTTTTACCTTCGTTGTTTGGCTGTTGATGGCACTACTAGGCAATTTTACCTTCGGTTGTTTGGCTGTTGATGGTACTACTAGGCAATTTTACCTTTGGTTGTTTGGCTGTTGATGGCACTACTAGGCAATTTTACCTTCGGTTGTTTGGCTGTTGATGGCACCACTAGGCAATTTTACCTTCGGTTGTTTGGCTGTTGATGGCACCACTAGGCAATTTTACCTTCGGTTATTTGGCTGTTGATGGCACCACTAGGCAATTTTACCTTCGGTTGTTTGGCTGTTGATGGCACCACTAGGCAATTTTACCTTCGGTTGTTTGGCTGTTGATGGCACCACTAGGCAATTTTACCTTCGGTTGTTTGGCTGTTGATGGCACTACTAGGCAATTTTACCTTCGGTTGTTTGGCTGTTGATGGCACTACTAGGCAATTTTACCTTCGGTTGTTTGACTGTTGATGGCACTACTAGGCAATTTTACCTTCGGTTGTTTGGCTGTTGATGGCACCACTAGGCAATTTTACCTTCTGTTGTTTGGCTGTTGATGGCACTACTAGGCAATTTAACCTTCGGTTGTTTGGCTGTTGATGGCACTACTAGGCAATTTTACCTTCGGTTGTTTGGTTGTTGATGGCACCACTAGGCAATTTTACCTTTGGTTGTTTGGCTGTTGATGGCACTACTAGGCAATTTTACCTTCGGTTGTTTGGCTGTTGATGGCACTACTAGGCAAATTTACCTTCGGTTGTTTCCAACAGCCCTCTCAATGTCTAGTTCTTGATTCCATCATCAAATTCAAACCGCATTCGCAAGGCCATAGGC